TAAAGTCTTTGAATGTAAGCATTAGTTTACTTAACATGTCAGGTACATTTCAAGTCTAAAATATTGCTTTTCTTTTAGTTTAATTATTAAATATTAGTGTATATATATATATATATATATATATATATATATATATATATATATATATATATATATATATATATATATATATATATATATATAACAGGGGCGGGTTTAGCTTTTTAAAGAGGTTAGTCAAAAAAGTCGGTTGCGGATTTTACTGCCCCCTCCCCACGAAAGGACGGGGGGGATGAAGATGAAATACAAAAAAAGCACCTACCCCATTTGTTTGATAAATAAGTTATTTGCAAAGCCTTCAAAAGAGCGGCTCAAATGGGGTTGCATATTTAATATATATATATATATATATATATATATATATATATATATATATATATATATATATATATATATATATATATATATATATATATATATATATATATATATATATATATATATATATATATATATATATATATATATATATATATATATATATAATATATATATATATATATAGTATTAAAACTAGCAACGATCCATTAAATCTACAAAAATAAAATATTGTCTGTGGTGTTAAAATACTTTGTGGGCATCATTATTGTGTATAATTGTAACATATATAAATAATACACCTGTATGGAGTATAACAAATCATTAATTAAATAGGCAAGGTTTGCATAGTTAGGTAACTTGCAAATAGAATAAAAACTATGTAAAAGTAAACAACTACAATAACATTAATACCATAATTATAAAAAAATTATAATGTAATTGATTAGTATGACTATCATACTATGAGAAATGCAATAACACAAAAGCAATAATATGATAACTAACCATAAAAACCCATTTTGTTATTTTATTTCATTGATAGATATGCTATATAATATTAAACAATTGTAATATTAATGTTCGTAAGCAAAGTTATGCTTACAGTTAATGTGTTGCATGTGTTTATTTTCTCTAAACTGTTGAATAATGATCAATAAAGTAAACTTCAAATAATGAAAGCTTACTAAATTAAAACCATATTTCAACTCAAATAACCACACAAGGTAGAGTCTCAAGGTAGAGCTGAAAAAAAGGAGAAAAAGTATATAATAGACAATGAATATAATGCTCCTAATTAAAATACCAAAGATACAGTACATAACAGTACCAGTTTCGATTAACAATTGACAGGTAAAACTAAAGATAAATATAGAAAAAAAGAATACAATAAAAATTAGACATGTTTAAATTTATAAAGATAATAAAACTTCATGAAAAAAAAAATAACAACTAAAATAAAATAAATAATCCTTTTAAATAAATAAAACTGTAAAAAATAAAATAACTATATTTTTTAATTTAAAAATTATACAAACTTTCTATTTGAAGAAGATCTTAAAGATACCGAGTAAAGATTAGTATATACAGTGTATATACAAACCTTTATTCAGTATCTAATTTACAATGTAAAAAACACATAAATTCTTCCCTAACATCATAGGAATTGTCTATTAATCTAATTATTAAAGACAATTATTCCTGAGTGGAGCAGTCAGAAGCTTCATCAGCAATAACTGAAAAAATTCGATTTTCTTTTATTTCAGAAACCAAAATATTCTGGATGTCCTTTCCCCAACAACTTATTAATTCATTCTGTGAGGAATTAGAAATATAAGATGCATTCTTTGCACAGCTGTTAAGATAAAGTTCAAGAATTTTATCCCCACCTCTGATTCTGTAGTTTGAAAGTTCAATAAAATTACCTACTAAAGAATATTTGCCAATGACCATCACAATGACCTCTGAAAGCTATATTAAGTTGACCTAAGAAAATGATTTTCTCACAAAACAACTTTTTACAATTTAAAGCTATCTCCTTTTCACATTCTTTATTAAAATATCTATATTTTAAATATTTCTATTCATAGTATTTAAAACGGCGGAAAATATGGTCCAGGCATTATAATGTAGAATTTGTACTGCGTGATGATGTTCATAAATATTTCAGCTGAGTGATATTCATAATTATAACCCGTTTTTCCCATGGTAATGTCTATTAAAAGTGCTCACAGCATCTGGCCTATATTTGAATGACTGATTATACAAATTTTTAAATCTAGAAGTTTTTGAAAGGTATTTATATCTAAACAAAAGGCAACACAAAAAAAAATGCTCCATCTTCAGAAGGTAAATATCTAAGCCATGAAAATTGTTTTAATGATAAAAGTTTATAAAGATTGCCCATTTGTTTTTAAAAAAGAAGTTTCATCAGGAACAAAAACATTTTGAATCAAATTTTATATTTGTAAATCTTTTAAAGTAGAAGCCTTCAAACGAAACAACAAATTAACAATATCTGATGATGAACATAGAATAAGGTTCAATATTAAGATTAAACATAATTTTATATTTTAGGAAAAAACTGTTCTATAGTAACACTTAAGTCTTGTAGAACACACAGTTGAAAGAGCAAGAACACAAAGAAACACAGACCATAAAAATTCTTTACACATATGAAATGTTTCTTCCTTAACAAGGTCATTTTTTAATTTTCCTGAGTCTATAAAATGTGTGGATACAGACACTGCTAACAAATTATCAATTGATAAAAACTCATTTGGATACATTGAGGACAAGCTTACAAACAATGGATGATTACTGTAAAAAGAGGCATTTAAATATAAATCAATTGCTGTCAGTATTTTTAAATCCATTGCCAGACTATTATCACCACACAGATAAATTCAAAATGAGCTAAATAAGCAATTGTCAGTTGATTCAGCTGAATCAGATCTGATCAGATCTGTAACAGAGCTGTAACTGATCAGAGCTGTAACTGATCACTGCAACTGATCACTGTAACTGATCACTGTAACTGATCACTGTAACTGATCAGAGCTTAAACAGATCTGATCAGATCTGTAAAAATGGCAATTAAAAATTTTTAAAGTAAAAAAAAATCTACAATAAGCTCAATGGAAAATAAACTTGGATTTAATCATTTATTTACAATAAATCAGTTTGGTAAAAAGTTGAACCACATAGATCACGGCAAAAAATGTATTTCATAATATTATTACTATATAAATTTACATCCCCAAATGAACGAACGCAGGGATAATATGTTTACAAATTTTAAATGTAATTTTTTATTTTACTTGTTAGGATAAATAAAGTAAATCTTACTTCACCACCTAGTTGTTCTTGACTCCTGAGGAATGTCGTGCTCTACTCTTTATTGACTTATGAACAGTCAACAACTGATAAAAATCTGACTTATGAAGGAGATTAATCTTTACTGACTATTCTGAATAAAGAGTTTGTAAACTTTCAATAAATCCATTTTCAAGCAAATACCTTACAGATTGTAAATGCATGCCAAATCAAAAATTATTTAAAATTTATTTAAAACATTCAAAGAATTATTGTTAGAGAAGGCTTCTTTTAAATTAGTCAGGGGGCAATCATCATATATTTAAATTCGACTAACTTGGCCTGAAGTTACGCTACCGAACGACAAAAATAAAATAATTTAAAGTGCTTTAAAATCTCGTCAGCCGAATAAAAGGGCCAGATAAGTCCGCAAGATTTTTTTGACTAACTTGGCCTTAAGTTACGTTACCGAACAGTAAAAATAAAAAAAATTTAAACTACTTGAATAATTTTTTGAAATCTCGTCAGCCGAATAAACGGGCCAGATAAGTCGCAAGATTTCTTGACTAACTTGGTCCGAAGTTACGCTACCGAAAAAAAAAATTACAAGACGGGGCTATTGCGTGCGCATATACTTATCGTAGTTTAATTGGTATTGCTGTTTAGACCAAAAAAATAGAGATTTTATTTATTTTCAAAAATCTCAAAAATATATAACCTATTTCATTAGCCTGATCGTTGTTTAGTTTAGTAAAAAAGATGTTAGTCAATGCGCCTAACAAGACTAACCCTAAACCCGCCCCTGTATATATATATATATATATATATATATATATATATATATATATATATATATATATATATATATATATATATATATATATATATATATATATATATATATATATATATATATATATATATATATATATATATATATATATATATATATATATATATATATATATATATATATATATATATATATATATATATATATATATATATATATATATATTTATTATTGATATATATATATATATATATATATATATATATATATATATATATATATATATATATATATATATATATATATTTGTATACTATATATATATATATTTGTATACTATATATATATATATTTGTATACTATATATATATATATATATATTTGTATACTATATGAGATTGTCCATAAATTACGCAAAGCTAAATTTCACTAATAAACAAAACAAAAATGATCAAAAGTTTTCCCTCGCAGAGCCTTAAGTTAAATAAAAAATCAAAACAGTGGAATAAGTTTAATGAAAATCGCTGGGTAAAAGAGCTTAAGACCTCCTACTTATGTTTTTAAAATAAATTTATTGTTGCGATCTTTAAAATAAATTTAGTTTTTTTAAAAGTTATAAAAAGGATTTATTTATAAATTGTTAAAGTATTATCTCTGAATCCTGGGCATTGAGGATTACCCCCTGGTCCATTCCTTATTAATCTACTGTTGGAACAAATTCAATAAAAAAAAAATTATATTTATATAACTTATATAAACTTATAAGTTCTTCTAAAACCCTTTTAAAAAAGTTTATGTTCATGGCTTTAACAAACATTCTCGAGCAACAATTATGCATAGGCAGACGTAAAGGATATAAAAATTAAAGTTTTACAAGACTAAATATATATATATTTTCAGATTTGTATATATTTTTTAATTTTATATCAAAGTACGATGGCTGTGAAATAAAGCAGAAAAAAAAAAAAACACGTGCAATACGCGTGAAAACCTTTGAACCTATAACTTTTATATATAAATTGTTCATTTTCGTTTGAATGAATTGACTGATTAAATGCATTGAGTTTTTAAAAACAATCGCTGCATCTTAAAGTTTAAAGACATGTTTTAAAATGTTCACAAACGAGGATTTTAATAACGGTACGACTTTGGGTAGTTATTATTATTTTTTAATTTTTTTTTTAATTTTTTTTTTTGAAGATTCTCCATGTTCTCTTTCGAGTACTCAACCAAGCAAGTGCTAATGTTTAAAAATTAGGCATTAGAATTTTGATCATACTCATTAGAAATAGATCTATTTCTTATGATTTTAATTTATCCTTAACTTTTTAGGTCAACCTAAAAACATTTAAATTGCACTTTTTTTGTTGCGGGTTCGCGATTTCGCGCGGAGTTTTGACGCACTTTTTATTATATTACATATATCGAGTTTTTTTTTAATTAACTTTCTTAAGTTGTTGTTTTTCGCGCTACCATGAGTAAATTTTGCAGATGCTGTTAATGCAATGCATATTTTATGTTGGAAAAAAAAGCCTGTTTTATTGATGCTTTAAATATTTTTGATTGTACGTTTTTAAAAAAAAACGTCAACAAAGTTATTGGGCTAATGTAAAATAAGTTAGTCGACTAAGGTATACATAGAGAAGTATTCCCTTATGTAATGATGCCATATTAACAATTAATATTTGATAATGTCCTTTAAACGATTACATTTATTTTTTATGCCATTGCATTGATGCTATTATTATAATTACGTTGTTTAAATGACGTTGATGTAATGCTTTAATGTATTATTTTAATAACGGATTTTATTTAAATTTAAATTATGACTTTTTATTTAAAATATTAACAATACAATATTTATTAATAAAATATAACATGTGTTTGTATTACTTTATCAAGGATACCAAACCAAGGACACCAAACCAAGTAGTGGATTAAATTATATTTAAGTATTTAGTTAGAGCCTTAATATAGTGTTGATATATTTTTTTAAATAAGGTTCAAAAACTTAAAAAGATTTAAGAATTCTTTGGGTCTCTACTTTTCTTGTTATACAATGTAGTAGCACTCCTAACATGTTTACAGTCAATGTATATGAGCAGTAAAAAAGAATAAAAATAGAAACATTTATAATATTTTTGTTTTTATTAAAAAATAAAAACCATTTGATTTGATATTTTGGGTAAATAATTTTTGTGGTTTTTAAAAAATGGATAAAATTTAACTAGTTTTCTCAAATTTAATGGTTTTTACATGAAGTGTATTTAATTTTACTTTTAAACCTAGTTGTATATATATATATATATATATATATATATATATATATATATATATATATATATATATATATATATATATATATATATATATATATATATATATATATATATATATATATATATATATATATATACACACACATATATACAAATAGTATTGCGTACTAAGGTGAGCAAAGGTGAGCAATCTGACATCATACTGAAATAGCCTGCTGCTGGGGGCTTCAATACATACATCGACTGACAAATAACCTGACTTACTGTGGAGTGCTGCTAGATTGACTGAGAGTTTGGGATGGGGCAGCAATCATTTCATTCATCACTCTTCTTTTTTTTTTTCTTTTTCTAAAAAAACTGTATGGGTTAAGGTAAGCAAAAAAAGTGAGCAAATGCTTATAAAAGTACGCTTTAGTAAGTGTGTGTATATATATATATATATATATATATATATATATATATATATATATATATATATATATATATATATATATATATATATATATATATATATATATATATATATATATATATATATATATATATATATAAGGGGCAAATGATGCATTTTTTTGTTTGTTTAAGACAAACTCTAAACATATATTTATGCTTATGTCAAATAGAGATACATTGCAAAAAAAATTAAATTTTTATTCATCAATAAATTTTTAATTTTATACAATAATCTCTTAAACATTCAAAAATTGTAACCTTATACAGTCATAGTTTTTGAATGTTAAGAGATTATTACATGATTTTTTTAAAATTTAATGATGAATATATATTTATCCAAGAATAGTTTAAAAAGTTTTTTTTTTTGACTTGTTGCTCTCGTGTTTGAAGCAGTTGTGGCCAAATTATTAGGGCTATTTTGTTCCATAGTCCAATCATTTTTTGCAAAGCATCCTTATTTGATATTAGTATAAACATAAATGTTTGGAGTTAGCCCATGTCTAGAAGTTTGCTATCTCAAACATCAAAAAATACTTGATCTGGCCATTAGATGGTTGTTTTTAAATTTTTTACATGAAATATCAATTTTATATATATATATATATATATATATATATATATATATATATATATATATATATATATATATATATATATATATATATATATATATATATATATATATAAATTATATTAGCATATTCTACAAAGAGCTCAATATTCTAAAAGATCAGAGTAATAATAAATTAGATAAATGCAATAATAATAATAGCACAGTAAGTTATAAGTAAGTGATAAGTAAAAAAATACACCATAATACTTACAGTGATAAGTAAATAAATACACCATAAGTAGGGTCATCAGGAAGGTGAAGTTGTTGAAATTAGATAAGTGTTTTTATAATTTATTATTGCTCTGATCTTTAAGAATATTGAGAACTCTATTTGTAGAATACACTAACATAATTTATATGTATGTATATATATATATATATATATATATATATATATATATATATATATATATATATATATATATATATATATATATATATATATATCAATGTTTAAATTAGTTCTGTAGGGCATCATCAAATGCGGCATTCCCAAATACTAAATAAAAATTAAATTCATAATTTAAATGTGAAAAAATCCTATTCTCCAAATAAAGTTTGCCAAATTAAAGTTTAATAGCAATTCTAAAAATAATTTGAAATTAATTTTTTTAAAAAACTAATAGAAAATCAACATAAAAGATTCTAGGGTTTGAACCTCACCTCTGGACAAGTTTTGCAACATCGGTTAGGAAGGAGGCATGAACTCTATTAATTGCTCTTCCGTGGTGCACTGTGTTAAGATCTTAAGGCCTTTATGGGGTACCTAAATTAAATTAAAAAAAAGAAGTTGTGTGGAACCTGAAATAAAATCTCTGTTATTGGTATAACTATGCGATTGCATAACTGTGAAAATGTCTCTTGGAAAAAACTTTTTGAGAATTGTAATTTACCAGCGATTTTAGGGATTTTTCTTGGAAACTTGCTTGTAAAATTTATTTCTCAAAATTTGAAAGTAGTTTTTTGCATTGCGTTCCAACAACAGCAAATATTATATAAAAAAGTTAGCAAGAAATAAAGTACAATCTAAAAAATTAACTAACTTGTTTGGTTTAACAACCGCAAATGCTTTAAAAGTTTTTACCTTTTTGGCTGAAAAGTTAAATAACTTATTAACTCTTACTGCAAACTCTGCTTCAAGTAGTACATGTGCTTTGTCAATAAAAATATTGAGAAACCACCTACACCAGATACTTTTAAAATTTTGACCAATTACAGATATTACAGTAAGTCTTTTAGTTATTGTTAATCTTTTTTGTTTGGTATTTTATATCAACTAATATAGTGTAGTTAAGGCACTTTTAAAATATTATAGTCTGTATGATATTTTGTTGAATACAACATATTTCTGTTAAATGGTCAGGTCTGTGAATTATGAAAAGACTAAAATGATAAATTTTGCTGTATCATCAAATATAAATGTTTGTAGCAAAAAAACCCAGACCAAAGATTTTTTTTTTTACAAAAAATCACCTTAAAATCACAATTGCTCGTCCAAATTTGAATAAGATTTTAAATTAATATGTTTTTTAGGTGAAATGAACATTATAGTTTAACAATATAGTCTGTTCTGATCGTTTAATGGCAATTTTCCATAATTACAAGCTTTTTCTTGGTCAGAATTCTAGTATTTTTTGTGAAAATTGATAGAAATACTTCAGTTATGATAATAAAATAAATATAGTATAGCTATTTAATAAGGAAATATAATCATTAAATTATCAAACCAGTCCAGAAATATTTCATAAATAAAAGTATATAGGTATATTAAATGGTATACTAAAATTTAGTATACCAAGTATTAGGTAAAGTTTACCATAAAGTTAGTATACCGTATACTGTAACCGGCAATCCCTAACACACACATGTATATATATGCGGTAGTGGTTATATATAGTTATGCAGTATATATAGTTATGCGGTAGTGGTGTAGTGGTTAGAGCGCTCGCTTTGTAATCGAGAGGTTCAGAGTTCGACTTTCACCACGTCCCTTGAAGTACCGCGCTTAACTTGATTTCCCCCCGCAATGGCCTTGCTTGTTAAGGTTTGTGTTTCAGAGTTAAAGAGTTGAGAAAGTGTTAAACCACGATTTACAACACAAAAAAAATGAGTAGCCTCCTCGACTGTAGTGGCCCCTCGGGCTTTGGGTGAATAATTAAAATATATATATATATATATATCAATTTAAATGATAAAATCAATTTTGCATAATACCAATAAAATGAAATTTATTGGTGTGCTGGCTCAAAGTAAGGTACTTTTAATTTTAAAACTGTGACTGCTTTTGATTAACATATTGTACCATATTTGGTTTTTATTTAGAATATGAGATATAAGACAAACCTAAAATAAATTGTTATAAAAAGTTTATCACTTTAAAACAAAGCCATTAAAATTATTCACTTTCAGAATGAAAAAATCTGATAAATGATAAATCTTTATCACTTACAGAATGACCTCTATGATTTTTTTTTTTTTGTCATATAAATTTTCCCTAAATACAACGAAATATGTTTGTTCAGCACAATAGAACAACAAAATATAACAAAAAAAATCTATGATGTGAAACAATGAATCTCATTCTATTAAAACTGAAAATTCAATTCAAAGTTCGCACTTTTTGAAGTAAACTTTGAGTTATCCTGATAGCTGCTCATAAAGTATGATAATTATGTTTAATAATCTGTACTAAATATATAAAGGTATTATAAGAATTTTTCATATATCCCATTGTCCTAGAGCTCTAGACAGAGAAAATATTTTTTTTTTTTGCTTTAATTCAATAATGCCACTTTTACAAATCTTCCTATTTTTATTATTTCTACTAATTAAATTTATTTCGATGATTTATATAGCGTATTCTAAAAACAAATTTGAAGAATTGCTTTATTATAGAATCTTTATATAGTGTTGTTAAAATAAATATGTTAATCACAAATATTTTTTACTAAAGAGTACTGTCTACTACCAGTACCAATGTTTTATGAAATATTTTTATTTCTTTTTTTGCTTAATAATGATTTGCATAAAAAAGCAGTCAAACTACTTTTCTGCCTTAATTCCTGAGAGTTTTTGGGTGATTAACTTTTTGGAAAAAATAATTAAAAAATCACTTCTAAACAAATGTGCAAGCAAGCACTGTTAAATTTGGTAGTTGATAGAAATAAATAAAAAGAGTTGATGTTGTATTAGTTTTTGTTGTACTTGTTTTTAAAATGTTTTTATTCTATATTATTTTAAATATTTTTTTATATACTGTACTTTAAAGCCAGACAAAATAAATACAAAAATAACTACAAATAAAATAAATTTTCTAAAAATACCTAGTATGGAACAAAATACTCAGAGATTTGTTGCACCATGGGCTTCAGGTGAAAAGCTTCGCAAAGTTGAATCTGAGGTTCTTATTCCAAACTTAATGAAAAAAAAAGCAAAAGTTTTATGTCAAGATTATATGAAGGGTGAATATATGGATTTTCTAGTGTTTTTTTTTTTTCACTATTTTTATATAAAAAATGATATTGTAATATAAATTATGAAATTTTTTGTTATGACTTATTTTTTGTCAAAAAAAAATGTTTTAGCTTTTGATGCGTGCTCTAAAGGAAGAGTGTTTTCTTTAATGTGGTCTTGTAAAGGCGAAGTCCAAGCTCTCAGAAATTGCATTAGTAATGAGTATGAATGAAATATTTATAAATATTTAAATTCCAAATTTTATTTTTGAAAAAAAATTTAAAGAATTTGTCCATAAAATTTTAAATTCTTTAGATTAGAAAAACCTGATCTTTATTCTGAGGCAAAATTGGAATATTTAAAAGAGCGTGAAAAATTTCAGGAAGAATATGTAGAAACTGGAAGTTTAAAAAAAAAGAAAAAAGAAATCAGGAAGGAAGAAATTTTATAAAGCAGAATCTAAATGAAAATTATTTGTAAAAGAATCATTGAAGAATTTGCTTAAGATCTAGAGCTTTTTGTTCATGTTTTAGTGAAAGATTATTGACAATTAAAAACATCTTTTTAACACTTTTTTAAAATAAACGAAACAAATTTAGCTCTTCTTAAGTTTTTTTTTTTTTTTAATTTATCCCTCCATCAATATCTTTTATTGTCTGATTTTTTGAATAATTCGTATTATAATATTTATTTAATTTGCAAATTTTGAATTTTAATTTGAATTCAATTTTAATAATAAGTTGAACTCAATTTGGGGAAGAAGAAAAAAAAAAAGGAAAACTATTTTATTCAGTTTAAAATAATTAGCACTTTAATTTATCTAGCCAATAATAAATGACCATGTCATCATAATATGTGTTTTATTTGCTTTTGTAAATAAAAGTAGATGTATGATCAGGAAATGTATGTGTGTCGGGTCTAAATCATCTCTATGTAAGTAGGATTTATTTATTGATCCTATTTTTCAGATTTATTTGTTCAGGTATTAAAATCTTTTAATATAGTTTTCACTAGCTGGTGTTGAACCCAGGTGTGTAAATGTTTTTTGTTTTTTTTCAATTTGTATTTTAATTATAATTAAAGTTGTTGCATAACTTTAGTTTTGTTTTTTATTAATTAATTATAAACATTTGTTAAAAAAAAAGCATTTAAGAAAAATCAGTACATGTATACAATATATATCAGTATATATATACAATACTGTCACATAAATGCAATACTGTTATACAATATATATATATAAAAATCTGTATATATATACTATATATATATATATATATATATATATATATATATATATATATATATATATATATATATATATATATATATATATATATATATATATATATATATACATACATATACATATATATAAGTGTTTTAAAACTGTGTTTATTTATTTTGAGAAATCTTGTTATTTAGTTTTTACATTTTTTTTCTCTGTTACTGTTATATAATGTATTTTAATATTATTATTTTTTTTTTTTTTTAGTTATTAAGATATTAAAAGAAAATTAGTTCTTTATTTTTTAGCTTAGGACATTTTTAAAGTTACATAAATTATAATATTGTGTTATGGGTATAATTCTTTCTCTTAATTTGAGTTCCAATAATGTTTTTAGTTAAAATCATTGAGCTTAGTTTGTTATGTTTTTTTATTTTCTGAAGTGAATAAATATGTTGCTATCAAGAACATTACTGCGTGCACAACGTCACAAATTTGAAATTATACGAAAATCTTTTACATATTCAGAAAAAAACACTAATTGGACAAGAGTCTATCGTCTGATTAAAGTTGGCTCATTTGCCACAGTAGGTTTTGCAGTTTGTGTTGTCCTTGCTAATGAAGAAGAAGCTCCCAAAAAAAAACTTGTTATTCTTGGTTCAGGTTGGGGTGCTATGAGTTTGTTGAAATCTCTTAAGCCCGGTTTGTATGATATTTCAGTTGTCTCGCCAACTAATTATTTTGTTTTTACTCCATTATTAACTGCAGTTACAGTTGGAAATGTGCAATCGAATAGCATTATTGAACCTGTTCGAAAGATTCTTACAAAAAGATATAAGAATACAGGAAAATTTTATGAAGCTGAGTGCACAAGCATTGACATTGAGAATAAAAAAGTTACTTGTCACGATAAATCAGGTAAGAAACACATCATTGATTATCTTTTTTTTTTTTTTTTAATTAGTTTTTTTTATTATTTTTTCACTTTAATTTTTTTTTTTTCGGTTTCATTCCTTATTTTACATTGGTAATTTTATTAATTAGCAGTCCAGACCCATTAAGTATGGGTCTTGGTAAGTGTATTCCACACTAACCATTTCTATATTTATTCCTTAATTCATTTTTAGTAAATGGTTTTACTAGGGTTGAATAAGGGTCGGCATGGCTGAATGCCAACCCTAATTTTGAGGGCTAATATATATATACAGGGCTCATTTAGACGGTCAGACATTGTTTGGCTGATCAGATTGTCCAATCAATTTACAAAATATTCAGACATTTTGACCAATGGGAATTCTATGAAATAATACTTTAAAAGATTAAATATCAAATTATTAATTTACACATAATGAGTTAAATTAAACCGATCATTATAATTAATTTTTGATTTTATTTAAAGCCTTCGCATTAAAAAAACTTTACAAAAGATCAACGATTAAAAGTTATTTGTAATGTAAAGATTTTTATTATTGAATTTAAACTGTAAAAACTTCAAAACAGCCTTTGTCAAGTTGAAAAGAATTAAAAAATAAATAAGCGTTATCAGTTACAGAGTGAAAAATTAAGTCTGTCTATAAAAACCTACAATATTAAATTAGAACTATTTAACTAAAAAAATGCAAAATCTGTGATGAAATATTTTGAATAACTAACGTTAAAAAAATTGAATAACATTAACAAGATTTCGATTGCAAAACTTGGTTCCCTAAAACCATAAAAATTATATTTAAAAAATTTGATCAGACACTGTCTGTATAAAAAAAGCGTTATATGAATTTAAATTGATATTACATATAATACTGCATTTGAAATCCTTCTTTTGGTTTTATTCATTAAAAAATGCAAAAAATGTTTTTTAAATTCATATAACGCTTTTTTTATACTCGCTTATATTATATAAGAAGAACAAGTTTTGTTTGGACATTTAGTATAAATAATATCATTCATGAATGTTTTTATTTATTTTTAAAAAATTCATGAATGCTTTTGTTTATTAAAAAAATAAAAACATGTTTGTCTGAATGTTTTTAAATTTTTTACTGTAAAACAAGCATGGAGTGTTGCTACATTAACTATCTTATAGCCTGCTGCTACAAAGATGTGCTGCTACATCGGCTATCCTATAGCTTTCTGCTATAAAGAAGTGCTCCTAAATTGACTTTGTTACAGCCTGCTGCTACAAGAAAGTGTAGCTACACAGATTGAGGGTTTGGTTTGGGCAGGTAGTCGATCTAATGTGTAGTCAAATTCAGTATGTTTTTAAAAACATCTAGAATGTTTTTAAAAATATTCTATTCTTTTAATTTGTATTTTTGTTGTTTTTTAAAAAAACAATAAATTTGATTAAATTCCTCAATTTAATTATTGTGTTATGATGTAATCTGTACTTAATTTTTTCTTGTCACAGAGTAGTTAAGAGCCATTTTTTACCACAAACTAGAATTTAAATAATTGATTAATTTTTCAAAATATGTTTTGTTCTAAGATCATGAAGGGGATTGAAGTTAAAAATTTTTAACAATAATTAAAAGGTTTAAGTTTACTGTGTATTTTGAAAAAAATAGTCCGGGTTTTCAGTCTTTTTTGAAAATTTGTAAACTGATGCAATAAGAACTGGTAGATAATAATTTCTTTTCTGTATAATCACGCATTTTGCTTAATTGATTGATATACTTTAAAGTTGTTTAAGTTTACTTTAACATACTTAAGTTTACTTTAACATACTTTAAAGTTGGTTAACTTATTTTTTTTTAATGCATATTTGTTTAGTTTCTATGTTAACTTCCTGTTTTTTTTGAAAAATACGGCCGTTTCTTTATATATATATATATATATATATATATATATATATATATATATATATATATATATATATATATATATATATATATATATATATATTATATATATATATTCCTTTTGTATTATAAAAATAATACTATATGATTTCTTCATTATTTGTTTTCATTTTTATACTACATATAATAATGCATTTAAAACCCTTCTTTTGGTTTATTCATAAAAAATGCGAAAAAAATTTGTTTGTTTTTTAAATTCATATAACGCTTTTTTTATACATTATATAAGAAGAATATATTTAAGAAGTATATATACCAGAATCTTAAAAAAATCTATTTGTACTAAGTCTCTTAGAAATTAAAAATTAAGTTACCTCAAATTTTAACTTACATGTCACATCAACATAACATATATTTTCTCCTATTTTCCAAAAAGAATATAAAATCAGTTATTAGTTCATAAAAAACTATTATAGTAAATTGAACGGAAAAGGTTGTAATAATTAAAATTGTTATTATCTTTTCCGTTACAGTCTAATTATAGTTTAAACAGTTGTAAAACAATCGTAAAAGAATAAAACTCTTTGGTTCAAGGTTTATTTAAAAAAAGATTCCAATATAATTGTCACTATATTTTCTTTCTAGGCTTAGAGATATCACAGTTAAATTTTTAAAGTTTAATTTACAAAGCACAAGAAAAATGATTCAACTAAAGAAGCGCAATAAAAAATGTTATATTTTATTCCATTATTTTAATAAGACAATATATTAATACTCAAATAAATCTTACAAAATTGTTATGTTCCAAATTTTTCAACCAAGCTTCAAGATGCTTGAATAAAGAAACATGATGGTTGCAAAGGTTGTTTTTCTGCCATTTTTTGCGTTGCTTGCAAATTATTAATTTGGGTTTATCTGGAATAAACTCAACAAAAATTATAGAACTGATAAAACTGAAGAATAAAAGAATGAAGTCTAAGTAAAAATTGAAAAACAAAACCAAAACAAAAACATGATTAAAAAACTCACTAAGTAGAGCGCACATTATTAACTCTGAGTGAAAGATAAAAACTGCAAAAATACTTTGAAAAACTATTATCTCAACTTTACAAGTATAAAACTATTCAAAGTTTATTTACCAAAGTCTTTTTAAATGATTTGTCACTCTGCTACTTGTTAATAAAGCTTCTTTTGGTGACTTTGGATTTGGAGGTTAATTCTGAGATGTCGTGAGAAAAGATGCAGTCAAAGAAAAATTATGAGCTTCACCAACAACTTCTGATGATTCAAAGACAGTTGGCTGAGATATCTGGTTCTCAATTTTTCTGATATTTTTGCCAGCTCTGCTTGATTGAATCTGCTTTGGCTACTAAAATGTCCATATCAGAGTGTCTTGAATTACAATTTTGCTCTACAGTCATACTTTTGCTTCTAATTTGTTCCTTCAATTTATGCTTTTGAAATAAAAACATGCATTTTGATCTTGCATGTTTTGTCTTAATGTAAATAAAATTCCATGACCAAAATAATATGGTATTCTCTCTTCCCACCTTTTTAAAATTTTTTAAATTTGATTTTGAAAAAATATTGGGCAAAGCTCCTGTTTGTTATGATAGTTTCTCTCCATTCAAAATTTATACTTAAAGATCACTCTAATTTGTACTAAAAAATGTTTTGTTTTTTATTGTTTTTTAATATAATTATCATTTTCATGATTTTGATTTAGTCCATTCTTGACCAATTAAATGCAAATTACATAACGTTTTAATAAGATTACATGCGTTTTTGGCTTTAATTTCTTTGAATAATTTAAATTGAAATAAATTTTATTTAAGTTAATTTTAATTATAGTTAATGTAAATATATATCCATGTTATATACTTACATGGCTTTTAAGTTTTTCTATTTTATAATTTAATCTTGTTTAAAAAATATTAATTTCAGGTGTCGAATAAACAAGACCTATGTTAAGCACTTGAGAGTACTGTTTTAAAAATGACTTACTGACAAAATAAGAACTAGATTTCCCTAACATTTATAGCTAAACAACTACCACAACAATATATATATATATATATATATATATATATATATATATATATATATATATATATATATATATATATATATATATATATATATATATATATATATATATATATATATTGTTTATGAATGAATATTATATACTAATGTATATGATTAATTAACAAAAACCTATAGATTTTTATCTAACAAAAATATAAAAAGTTTAAAATCTTGAAGATTTGTAGATTAAAGGTTGTGAAAGGAACAAAAAAAAAATCAAGGATTAAAAAAAATAAATTAAACAGCTTAAATTATTTTGTTTATTTTTTGCTGAGGCAAGTTTTTTGGTGTCAAATTTTTTTGGTGCGTTGTTGACACCACACCCCTAGTATGTTTTAAGCAACCAAGTTATAATTATTTATGTGTTTTATTATATTTGTGTGTTGTTAACATCACCTCCAATTTTAAACTATCTGGTAATAAATAATCAATTTTTTAAGTGACATCATCAGAATTCTGTTTGGATTACGATTATGTTGTGGTAGCTATAGGAGCAGAAACTGCTACATTTAACATTCAAGGTGTTAAAGAGAACACACATTTTTTGAAATCAGTTCATGATGCACATGCCATTCGCAAACATATTATGGACTCATTTGAATCTGCTGCAATTCCTGGCCAATCAGATAAAGAGTTACAACGGCTTTTGCATTTTGTTGTTGTTGGTGCTGGACCAACAGGTTTTATTTTATTCTACTCAAATAAAAACAGGTTTAATGAAAAAACTTTGTTTTAATGTTTGATGCACTTTAGTTTCTTTTTAAATTAAATTTAAATATTTAAATTTTAATTTGTGATAAAAAATTTTGAATAAAAAATAAGACTTAATTAAAATAAAAAAACTGATTAATCAAATTATGTTATTGTTAATAACTATTTTAACATAGTTCTTTTATTCATGTAGTTCTTTTGTTTTATTTTATTTAATAACAATTTTAACATAGTTGTTACATTCTTTCCTTCACGTAGTTCTTTTGTTTTGTTTTATTTAGGTGTTGAGTTTTCAGCACAATTGCACGATTTTGTAAAAGACGATCTCCAGAAATATTATCCAAAACATTTAATTGAAAAAGCCCAAATAACACTTATTGATGGCTTAAAGAGGGTGCTTTACACATTTTCTGAAGATGTAAGTTGTATTTGGAGTCATATGAATTAATATTTTAGAAGATTTCAGGATTTCTTCTTTTTATTCAGATAAGTAGTTATACAGAAGAGTTGTTTAAGAAACAAGGTATCAATGTGGTTACTAGTACTTTTGTAACAGGAATTGAAAAAACTCAAATAAGTTTGCAAGATTCACAAACTAAGAAACATAGTGTAATGCCTTTTGGGTTATGCGTATGGTGTGGAGGGATCACACCAAGAGAGTTAACAAAAAAAGTCATCAATCAAATTCCTGGGCAGAACAACAAGTAAAAGTTTATAGTTTTTTATTTCTTTTAATTTTAATGCAAATTTTTAATGCAAAAAGCCAACTCTGATGACTTCATGCTAAAAAAATATATACATTAACTGAATGTTTGCTGAAGATATATATATATATATATATATATATATATATATATATATATATATATATATATATATATATATATATATATATATATATATATATATATATATATATATATACTCATATAGTGTCGCTTTAAGAGCATTTTAATGTAAAAAAAGTCTCTTACGACTACAATTTTAATTACTCGTCTCTTAAGCTGTTTTTGATTGTCGTCGAAATGTCAAAGCAATTAATTTATGCGGAAGTACATTAAATTTAATTGTTTTTTAACAAATTTTTAAAAAACCGCAATTATAACGACTAGAAAGTTTTTTTTAATTAGTGGTGTTTTTGTTATTGATTTAATAAAAAACATTTTTTAAACATGCGTAAATGTTGCTACATCGACTATCTTATAGCTTGACTCGCAACGGAGTGCTGCTACATCGACTGACAAATAGCCTGACTCGCAACGGAGTGCTGCTACATCGACTGACAAATAGCCTGACTCGCAACGGAGTGCTGCTACATCGACTGACAAATAACCTGACTCGCAAGGGAATGCTGCTACATCGACTGACAAATAGCCTGACTCGCAAGGGAGTGCTGCTACAACGACTGACAAATAGCCTGACTCGCAAGGGAGTGCTGCTACATCGACTGAGGGTTTGGTTTGGCCAGGCAGTCTATCAATTAAAAAAAAATATTTAATTTTTAAAACTTTTTCTGGTCTGGTTTATTAACGCGCTCTTTAAAACTACAGTTTATGGGAAATATTTTTTGATGCTACGCAAGAGACATGCAAGACTATATATATATATATATATATATATATATATATAAACTTGGCTAGTATTATAAATTTTGTTCAGGTACGAATTATGTAACAACAACAAATGGTTCTATTTAGTTAGATATAATTTTATGTAGTTATCAATTGTTCTCAATTTTTAAGTGAAATTTGAAAATATTTTAATTTTTTTTTTTTTCAAGTTTAAAAAGAACCAAAATATTAAAAAAAGTTTTACTGAGCTAAACAGTAGGGAGGTTTAACTTAAATTATGTTGGTTTGGTGATACAGTGCTCACTTTATAAACAAGAAGTTTTAAGTTTGATTACCACAATGTCCTTAGTAGTACCACGCTCAATTAGTATCCTTGCACAGTAGCCTTATTTGTCAAGTATTTCAGAGTTAAAGGGTTAAAAGATGGTAACCTCTTTGACTGTAGTGCTCCCTGCCACCTAGAGAAGATAAAGTAAAAAAAAATATTACTATTTTTTTTTTTTTTTTTTTGTTATTCACCTCCGAGAACGAGGAGGTGAATAACAAAACACTACAAACGAGGAGGCTACTTAATAGTGAAACACGAACCTTGACGAACAAGGCCACTGCGCGGAGAAACAAGTTGAGTGTGGTACTACCAGGGACGTGGTGGAGATCAAACTCGGAACCTCTCGCTTATGAAGCGAGTGTTTTACCACTACACCACTACCGCATATATTATTAAATACTTAATAACTAAATGTCAATATCAGTAATTTAATTGTTGTTTTGATTAATTTTATTGCTTAATAAATGCAGCTTTTTGTTTAATTTAAAGTGTTAAACCTAAAATTTTTTTTCAGGGTCAACGCTTTTTAATGAATGGTCATCAAATAATCAAAAACTATTTGAATGTTTTTTCTTATATATCTATTTGTCAAAAGTACGAATTCCTTTTTTATTACATTCAGATTTTTAGTGTTTTTCAAAAAAGTCGTGTCTGTTTTTTGTTTGATAAGAATATAAAATTTTCCTTCATAGAAAAATTAGTATTTGGTAGTAATGGTAAAATTTAGAGTTAACATTTTAATTTAAGAAAAATTTGTGATGTAATGATGTAGAATTCTAATTCAATTCAAATTTGATTGTTCGAATCTAAATCCATTTCATTTACATGTTTCTGACCACAATTTCAACTCCATGCACGAAGGTAACAACACAATGCTATCCACCTCTGAATTAAACCTTTCAGCAAACTTGCATAATGTTAATAGAGTTAACTTTGCAATGTTTCTACATGCAATGTTATAGACAAAATAAAGTACAAAAAAACCCTAATAAACCTCTATCCAACACCCAATTGAAGTATTACTTGTTTACCCTATTTAAAACTCATCTAAAGTATTCTTTCCTTATTCAACTTTCAATGAAGATATTTCAAGTATGCTTTATTTAGAATTCAATTAAGAAATTTAATGTTTTCTATATAACACAATGACCTAAAAATACCATAAGTATTTTCATTTTATAAATATTAATATAGTTTATGAAACAATCCAAACACTGACAAATTACCAGTAGTTTATTGTAATTTACTGTTAGATTTACCTGAATAAAATTTAGGTAAATAGTATTTTATTGTCTTTTTTGATAGTATTTTAAAATAGATTGCTACTTCAGAATTGATAGATTCAAAGATTGCTATGGCTTCTTCAGAAAAATAAAAATATTTAAAAAAAGATTTCTCCACCAACCTAAACTTTTAGTTGATAACAAGTACAAGTCCTGTACAAGTCAGTCCTTGTCTGTATATCATTTCTTATCTAAAGAGGCAATATAAGATATATATAAATATATATATATATATATATATATATATATATATATATATATATATATATATATATATATATATATATATATATATTAATTCACCTCCTCAAGGCTGAGAAGGCCACTACAGACGAGGAGGCTACTTATTTGTGGCTATAGCCCTCTCTCAACTCTATAACTCTGAAACACGAACCTTGACGATTAAGGCCGCTGCGCAGAGAAATGAGTTGAGCGCGGTACTACCAGGGACGTGGTGGGGATCGAACTCAGAACCACTCGTATATGAAGCAAGCGCTCTACCACAACACCACTACCGCATATATATATATATATATATATATACAACCCTATAGTTATAGAAGGAAAATTTGAAATATAATATATATATATATATATATATATATATATATATATATATATATATATATATATATATATATATATATATATATATATATATATATATATATATATATATAGTTATGCCATAAAAGTAAAATAAATAAATTTCTTGAAATAGAATGGGGCTTCTGACAGATGGTCATTTGAAAGTTAAAAACACATCTAATGTATTTGCTCTTGGTGATTGTGCTGTGGTACAATATACAAAAATATCAGATTATGTTGAAATGTTGTATGACACTGAAATTAAAAATGGCAAAAATTTATCTCAGTTTGAAGGTATTAAATCTTTCTTTTTTTTTAGATTTATATATTTTTTTTTAATTTATTTTATAAGTTAAAAATACATTTTTTTTTAAAACTATGTTTGACATATTTTTAACATGGAAACATTTCTTAGAACTTATTGAAAAGGGTAAAATGAAGTATCCACATCTTAGCTACCATTTTAAAGAACTTAAAAAGTAAGATGTTTTTTTATTAAAATAAATTAAAAATAATTAAAATTTAAACATAGTATAAATTTTAATTATTTATTATTTATTGGGGCTTGAGAATAAATTCTCCCATCGTTGGAGTAGCCCAACGATTGCTCTCCCTAGAACCCTGCTCTCATAATTGTTTTGTTCCATTAATATTTACATGATATGTTATTAAAAAAGAAAAAAGCGAATAAAAATTATTTTTTTATTTATATTACAATTTATTTCAAAAAAGAATTTATTCTTATTTTCGACTTTTAGCTTTTTTTTTGCTAGCTTATTACAAATGAATTATATTACTCGCTAATTATAAATGAATTATATTGCTAGCTAATTACAAATGTTTACTATAGTAGTTATTTGTGAAAACATTTAAATTAGTATATTTATAATAATATAGTTACAATAAGTATAATATTAAAAAAGAAAAGCAACATATATATCAAATAGATATAAATATAAAAGAAAAGAAAGCAAACAAATGACTCCTTAAAAAAAAAAACTCTGTAATCATTTCTGCCATCTTCAACAAAAAAAACTACAAACTCGTTCACAAAAAGTAGACTAGTACTCTCGAGTCCTTAATACAAGGAAGTGGGGGGGGGGGGGATTTTAGTCGAGATCTAATAAAAGGGCACACCCCTTTTATTAGACCTGGACTAAAATTGGTCGGAAATTTTTTATGTTACATTATAAGTATTTTTCATAAAAAATTTCAGTTTATAAATCCTAACTAATATTTTTTACAAAACATGCATAAAACTATTTAATTTTATCTTAATTTCAATAAGATTTAAGTTTTATAATTTGGTGAGACACCAAAAGCTCATTTATAACAAATTAAGATTTACGATTTTTACAGCCTGTTGACTCTGAAAGTTTTTTTTTGGTGACCGAAATAATTATTTTGTAGTTTTTAGGCCGGTTTTCTGAGTTTTTTTTTTTTTTTTTTATTTTAGTTTTAAGATAAAGTTTTTCTTGATAACTTCGAGAGTACATTGCTACTTTACTAGAAATATATACATTGAAAAACTAAATGTAACATTTTAAAAAACTCTGAAGCATTTTAAGCATTCATTAAGTGTAATACATTTTAAAAAATTTGTTATTTTTTATGATATTTTTCTATAGAAAAAGGAGGGTATTGACAACCCTAATAAACGTTCATAATCTTTTGTCATGTTTACTCAAAAGACTTCAAATAAAAATTGGAATAAAATAAAATTTTATTCCAACTGTGTAATCTAAAAACAAACAATTTTTATTTGAAGTTTTACTTTAAGTAAATATGACAAAAGATTATGAATGTTTATTAGGGTTGTCAATGCCCTCCTTTTTCCATAAAAGAGGGCAGTGGTAAACTAATTAAAATCAAAATTTGTATCATGAATAATGGCTAAATATTGAAAAATAAGTTGGCTACCCTACATTTATTATTAATTGATAATAATAACATTTCCCTTTAACTTAATTTTCAGGCTATACAACTCTAAAGTTTTGAAACTTGAAAGTGAAGGAAGTTTATCCTTAAAAGATCTTCATAGTCTAGCAAAAATTGTGGACTCAAAAAAAAATTCTTTAGCACCGACAGCTCAGGTGGCATATCAGGAAGGAGTTTACTTAGGTAAGAATAAGAAGGTGTTCTTAGGTAAATTATGATAAGAAGGTGTTCTTAGGTAAATTATGAATTTACTTTTATAATAAGTCATCTTATTAGTAAAAAGGTCAAATTTAAAGGTTAAGTACTTATATATTATACTTGTTCGTTGATTTATTATTTACCTTTATTTATTTTATTAGTTATAGTTTTACATACTTAATTATTTACTTTGATTTATTTTATTAATTATTGTTTTTCTTCTTTTTATCTCAGGAAAGTTGTTGAATGAACCTGAAATGTTAGATAATGAAGCTTCATTTGTGTCGGCTGAACCCTTTCTTTATAACCACTTAGGAACGTTTGTTTATATAGGAAACAATCAAGCTGTTTTAGAGTCCCCTAAAATTGGCGATTTTAAAGGTTATTCTGCTTTTTGGATGTGGAAGGGAGTCTATGCAAGTAAATGCATCAGTCTACGAATGCGCTGTTATGTAATATTTGATTGGATGAAGTCTTATCTGTTTGGAAGAGATATTTCTCGCAGTTAATTTTTGTAGCTAAATACTTATGCGTTCGTGCATTTAAAGGCATTTATTTTGGCGTCTTTTTTTCTTTTTTTTTATATAATTTTAAATGTAAAAAATTTTGCATATTTTTATTTAACACATTTAACTTATTTTAAAATTTACTGTATATTTTAATTACGTATTATATATATGTTATATTTATATATATATGTTTTATTTATATGTATATGTTGTATATACGTATTATATTTATAAGCATTATAAAATAGTTGTAGAGTTTTTTTCAATTTTTAAAATCAATTGATAAAGTTTTGAATTGCTTTTTTGATACTGACAACTATACCTTAACTATAACTCACCTAACAAAGGTGACGACACCGGGGTATGGTCACTGCCCACCCCATACACTCACTTTTTCTAACCGACTTTTTTTTTTTTGTTTTTTTTTTTTGTGTTTTTTTTGAGAAATTTCTAGATATAGAGGACTTGTTTTAAAAATTGACGATTATGCCCCTTCACTTTGGAACCCATGTCGTCGGCCCTGCCTAACTATAGACAAAATCTGACATCTTTTTAGCATTTTGGTTTTTCAAAAGAATAATTCAAGCAACTAGTTTAAGATATGAAATTAGGCATACATATCAATGGCATACAAAAATGTGCATTTAAATAACTTTTATAAAACAGTAAAAATTTCTATATCAAGTACATTTAAGCTTATATTGTTATAGCTGCTATAACCTGTAACCTAATTACTAGTTTACAGGTATAATTTCCATGACGTTTTTTCATCGAGGTTATACTTGTACATAACAATATAGGGTTTAAGTTAGGTAAATTGCAGCCAATTAATTTTCGGCTAATTCACTGTTTTTTTATCAATATCAGTATTTGATTATTAACAGTATTTGATACTACAAGTGTTAAGTGGAGGAGGGGGATAAGGAGTTGTTTTTTTCTTTTTTTTTGCCAACTTTAAAGTCATTTTTACTAAAGGAATTTAAAAATTAGTAAAAAGA